ATGTATGTATGTATGTATGTATGTATGTATGTATGTATGTATGTATGTATAAAATCCCAAATCTTAGATAGCTTTCTCCCATCCCAATTAATTTCTCTATTGGGAGGAATCATATCATTGCTTCATTTCTGGGTAAAATTGCATGTTGCTTAAATATATAGCTAGCTTTTTTAATATAAGCCAATATGGGAAAGCTGATCTAATATTAATATGTCTGTGATTTTAACTTTTTGGCCATGCTAATTCCACAAATATATGTGTAAATTTGCATTGATAGAAGATCCAATGAAGTGAATTTCTTTTTGTTTCATGAGAGAATACATTCTTTGTATGTTGAAAGTCCCACCTTTAATTTATAGTTTTTCCAATTATTAAGTAAATCTGCAGATTATAATAAAGCTTTTCCTTATATTCCTTTGCTACATTAGTCAAAGTAGACAGCACTGATAGCTTTGTCTAAGTATAAAATAGTTTGATATATTTTAATGACCCCTCTCCTCTGACACTAATTTATAGCTATATTTTGGGTGAGTGAATCATGGAAATTATTTCATGGTGGTATTTATTTTCTATTAGCGTTGTTGTCATCTAACATAGCAATGAATCATGAGATTCCAGTGTTACAGCTTCCAGTGTAATCTGATATCTCCTTATGTTACTGATGTACTGAGAATATATTTGAAATTAGGAAGGAATTTTATAGTGACAAATATGGTATGGGTGATCTCTGATAGGAAGTCTATCAAAAGCTTCACTTTGAAAGTTGGGAAATTCTGAACTTTCAGAAGCCCTGTATAGTTTTAAATTAAATTATTAGCTTTTTCACGGAGTATCTGTTGAAAAACTCCAATACAGTAGCATAAAAATATTGAAAGTAGGCCTCTCTGTGTTTGAGAAGACACCCTGAATCATTTATATATACAAATACGCATATATTTGTGCTACTTTAACTAATTGTCTCCAAAATGCCCAAGGTGGATAGGCTTTTAAAATAAGAATATTGTGCCTTGCTGTTTTCCTTCAGAGAAATTTCAAGCACTTTCTTAGGAGTTGTATACCACACAGGGAATTTCAGAGAGCATAGCTTTCATTTCCTGAAATCCCTTCCTCTCCTGGACTCTTAAAGGCCTAGGATCCTTTTTCTGTTTTACATCTGGTCATCTTACACACAGATCTTGAGAATTTAAAGGTATTTAAAATAGGTTTAATGGTGCTGCTTTATAATCAGGCTTCTTCAAAGTAGTGTTCCTTCAGATATGTTGAATTTCTAGTCTCAGAATTCACTTCTATTCTAGGGGTGGAACCAGTCTAAGGTCTTATATTATGCATCTTAACATTCCTTGCAGATTCTAAATCAGGTTGAATTGATACAAATGAAGGCTGAGCAGAGGCTTATTACATTCTTCCTTTTTTCTCTTTCAGCCTCTGTATTCGATGCCAGAAAGTGCACAATTCATGAAAAAGAACAAGAATGACAGCAGTGGCAGTAGTCATGAAAGCAGCAGTGACATCTCTGAATGGGAAGAGGAAGCTGAGAAAGAAGATGAAAATGGGAAGAAAGAGAAAAATGTCACATTTGATCTCGAAGATAGGAAATTAATAGAGCGATCCAGTAAGTTATATGAATGGAATTGATTAATTTTTATATTAAAATGTTTTTTTTTTAAAAAGAGATTTACTGGTCATTTAATTTTATAAGACCGCTTGATTGGGAATGTTTTCTAAATGTGCAATCTGTGATACCTTGAAATACTTCAGAAATTAATACATGCTCTGTTGTTATGGGGAGGCAGAACATTTTTGTTATAATAAGAATTAAAGCACATTCCATTTTTTTTTAAACCCACTCGTTCCCCACATGCCTGTTGATTGTTTTTCTCAGTCCTCATAATTTAACAGCAAAGAGACTACAATCCATCCCAATTGGCTCTATTGGCTGGGATTGCTGTGAGTTAATTCAGCATCCTTAGTCTGAACTGAACAAATAAGTCAGGCAATTGGACTAACAAATTTGGTGGAGTAATAATATTTGATAATGAGCAAAACGCAGGAAGAGAGAATCCAAATGAAGCTCTCACAGCACCGAAGTCTGTATTATACATGGCTTAACAGAAAGCTCCACTGATTATAATTCAGGAGATATTGAATTATACCATAACATGCACAATTAACTGAGGGAAGATTTTGAAAGAGATTGTGGGTGGTTTTGTTATTAGGTCTGTTTTGATAGCATAAGTGTTAACACCTGTGTGTGTGTGTGTGTGTGTGTGTGGAGGGGGCAGTGTGTGCAGGGTGGCGATACAAAGGACAGGGCCAGGATGTCTCTTTCTTGAATTTAATGGAGAGAGTGAGTGAGTGAGTGAGGGAGGGAGGGAGAGAGAGAGAGAGAGAGAGAGAGAGTTTTTTTTATAGGGATAGGAAAAGTGAACCATTTATACTCCCGCTAGGCAGTATAGGTGAGTTTAGAGAAATCAGGTGAGTTTAGAGAAAACTAAATTCTCTTAATTCTACTTTTTGATTCTCTTTCTTTCCCCATCAGTTTTTGCATAGGTGCATGATAGAAGTTCAGGGTATTGGAAAATAAGAGACAGAAACGTATTTAGAGGCCACTTGCAACATTGGGTTGAAAAGTCAAAAAAATCCACACAAAATTCACAATATATCCTGAGTGTGCAAGTTTGGAAGATTTTTTATTTAGTCTATATTTGTGATTTGGGAGAGGAGTTGACTCTTTTGTATTCATTTCCAGGCAGAATGCACTGGAAGCAGCCTCTTAAAAAAGTCCCATCTTATGTGTCTGCCGCCTCCTCAACTAGTCCTATCCGGCGTTCTGTAAGCTGCCCGCGATCCATTTCAGCTTTGGCTATGCAAATGCAAGCTGACAAACGCCCTTTCACAACCAAACCATCAATGCACCTCTCTCGGTCATCACTTGCGAACAGGTCACACTCTTTAAACAGAGGTCCATCTACTATCAAAGTGTCTCACACTGCCAACCCAGGTTCAGTTCATTCATCTGGGGTAAGTTAGCAAAGCATGTTTATTTTGTAATAACAAATATTTAAAGAAGTGCTCAAGTGGGGAGGGGGGAGATGAAGAGCAACGAGATTAATTATTTTATCATCCATTTTTGCTCTCCAAACCATTATTTTGTTTAAACTCAAACTCAAAGCCCGCAGGCCTTGAGTTTGACACTCCTAGTTCTCAACCTGTTAAAGAGCTACCTGTTCATTCAATTTCACATGGAAAGAACTGACAATTTAAACACTGAATGGTTTTGCAGTCTCTGGCACTGAAACAGATTTTTTTCAGCTCTCTCATACCCATTGTTCTGACTTGGCAGGGTGAAATGCAGCAGGGAACAAGGGAACAGGAAGAATTATTGACAAAGGAAACTTTAGCCATTTTCAGTGACATGAAGATACGATACCCAGGGAAAACAAATGAAGAAGCAGATCTGATCATTGACGATGTAAGTAGCGCAGAAGAACATTGTCACTAAGGCAAACTTTGCCATTGCAGGTGTGGTGGTGGTGGGGCATTGCCGACACCATGTTTTGCAGCGATAACCGAGTGATAAACAGGATGGGACAAAATATTCTCACAGAAAATTTCCTTGGAGAAATCGGAGGTGTTGATTGATTTGATAAGAGCGTTTTTATCCCATTCAACTGCCAAAATGATTTATATGTAATCAGTAAACAAGGTACATTCTGCCTGCAAGCATGGAGCCCTCCAAAAACCTGACACACTTGAAAGTGTGTGTGTGTGTTGTGTGTATGTGGGGAAGTATAGGAATAAAAAAAAAAGTCTCTGGCACATGCTTATCAAGCTAAATGGTAGTTCTTGCAATGACGAACTGGAATGGAAGCAGTTTAGGGACGGGTAAAAAAAACACCTTGAAGCCTGTTTTCAGCAAGTTTGCAGTTTTCCTTCCCTCTCTGAGATGAAACCAAATGGGAGGCTTGTTCTTCTGAAATCAGTCCAGCACAAGTACAGATAGTCCTCAACATAATGACCATAATTGACCCCCAAATTTTCATTGCTAAGTGAGACATTTATTAAGGGAGTTTTGCTCCATTTCACAACCTTTCTTCCCACTGCTGATGCAGTTGTTAACTTAGTATCACGGTCCTTAAGTGAATCTGGCCGCTCCATTGACTTTGGTTGTCAGAAGGTCACAAAAGAGGATCACATGATCCCCAGGAGATTGCAACTGTCATAAATGTGAGTCAATTGCCAGGCATCTGAATTTTCATCACATGACCATGGGGATGCTGCAACAGTCATAGGCATGAAAAATGGTCATAAGTCTTTTTTTTCCAATGCTGTTGTAACTTTGAACGGTTTCTAAATGAACTGTTGTAAGTTGGGGACTACTTGTATTCCAATCTGTAAACAGTGTAGATCCATGATGGCGAACCTATGCCACGCGTGCCGGAAGTGGCACGCAGAGCCATTTCCCCTGACACACAAGAGCTCGCCTGGAAGAGCCCCACTGTACATGCGTGCGTGTCGCCGCTGCCCGACAGCTGATTGTCGGGTGTCTTGCGCGCATACGTGGGGGGTGCATGGGAGATGTGTGCATGTGTAGAAATGCGCAGCGCACGCTGGGGGTCGTGGGTGCATGTGGAGAGACGTGCGGCGTGTGGAGGGATCACGCACGCATGCGCAAATAGATGGCACACAGGAGTGATTGCACGGGCATGCACAGAGATGTACAGTGTGTGACAAGGGGAATTGCGCACACGTGCAGGCGTGTGGCATGCGGCAAGGGGAATCATGCGCATTCGCAGAAGCATGGCGCTGCAAGGGGGTCGTGCGTACAGGTGCAGGGTGTGTGTGTGGGGGCCCCAGCATGCATTGCCTTCTGAGTGCTGGCACGCAAGTGCATGACGTGCCTGCAATTATTGGCACGGGAGCCGAAAAAGGTTTGCCACCACTGGTGTAGATCATGGGTGTCCGTGCATGTGCATTGAATGAAGAGGAATTGTTTTAGGTCACATATATAATATATAATATAGTTAATGGTGTATAAATCACATAATGTTAAAAAAGTTTATGATCTTGTGGGACTGCATTACTAGCTGTCCAGGGCTGTGGGTTGGACATACCTGGTGTAGATGGAATGTGGATAGCTTTTCTACCTGACTTGAATTTTTTTTAAATTCATGAGATATTTGGGATCTGGGAATGAAAAAAAATATTTTCTTTGGGGCAAATTGCTGTGAATATATAGTATGTAACCTGGCTTGTTTGTGTGAGCTACATACTTTTTTCAAACTAACAGCTTACCAGTTGGGGAAGATACAATCTAAGCTAGAAAGTCAGGTACTAAAAAGTTTTTAGAAAATATGAATGACAACTCAATTATTGCATGTCTTTGCTAAAGCAGTTTTACAGATCAAAAGCTTATGCCACAATCAAGTTAACTATTCTTTAAGATGACACAAAATCCTTTACGTATCTTCCATAGCTACTACATGGGACTGTTTTTCAATTAATAATTAACTTTTGGAAAGATTGGCTTATTTCCAGAATATTGTTGCACTATTGCTTTTTTTTTTTTTTGGGTGTGGGCAGAAAGGCATCTGAATATAATTTAAATTGTTGGAAGTTTCCATCCTTGGTGGAGGGAGGAGAATATAAAACTTCTTTTACTTTCACATGTAAATTAGCATCGATATTGTTAGTCTTTCAGCATATTCCTTTTAAAATAACATACACTGCTCATAAAAATAAAGGGAACACAAAAATAAGACACCCTAGATCTGAATGAATGAAATATTCTCATTAAATACTTTGTTCATTACATCGTTGAATGTGCTGACAACAAAATCACACAAAAATTATCAATGGAAATCAAATTTAGCAACCCATGGAGGTCTGGATTTGGAGTTACACTCAAAATTAAAGTGGAAAAAAACACTATAGGCTGATCCAACTTTGATGTAATGTCCTTAAAACAAGTCAAAATGAGGCTCAGTAGTGTGTGTGGCCTCCACGTGCCTGTATGACCTCCCTACAACGCCTGGGCATGTTCCTGATGAGGTGGCGGATGGTCTCCTGAGGGATCTCCTCCCACACCTGGACTAAAGCATCCCCCAACTCCTGGACAGTCTGTGGTGCAACGTGGCGTTGGTGGATGGAGCGAGACATGATGTCCCAGATGTGCTCAATTGGATTCAGGTCTGGGGAACGGGCGGCCCAGTCCATAGCATCAATGGATATTTACTGCTGACACACTCCAGCCACACGAGGTCTAGCATTGTTGTGCATTAGGAGGAACCCAGGGCCAACCGCACCAGCATATGATCTCACAAGGGGTCTGAGGATCTCATCTCGGTACCTAATGGCAGTCAGGCTACCTTTGGCGAGCACATGGAGGGCTGTGCAGCCTCCTAAAGAAATGCCACCCCACACCATTACTGACCCACTGCCAAACCAATCATGCTGGAGGATGTTGCAGGCAGCAGAACGTTCTCCACGGCGTCTCCAGACCCTGTCACGTCTGTCACATGTGCTCTTCACCTTTCATTTGTGAAGAGCACAGGGTGCCAGTGGCGAATTTGCCAATCTTGGTGTTCTCTGGCAAATGCCAAACGTCCTGCATGGTGTTGGGCTGTAAGCACAACCCCCACCTGTGGATGTCGGGCCCTCATACCACCTTCATGGAGTCTATTGCTGACCGTTTGAGCAGCCACATGCACATTTGTGGCCCGCTGGAGGTCATTTTGCAGGGCTCTGGCAGTGTTCCTCCTGTCCCTCCTTGCACAAAGGCGGAGGTAGCGGTCCTGATGCTGGGTCGTTGCCCTCCTATGGCCTCCTCCACATCTCCTGATGTACTGGCCTGTCTCCTGGTAGCGTCTCCATGCTCTGGACACTACGCTGACAGACACAGCAAACCTTCTTGCCACAGCTCGCATTGATGTGCCATCCTGGATGAGCTCCACTACCTGAGCCACTTGTGTGGGTTGTAGACTCCGTCTCATGCTACCACTAGATTGAAAGCACCGCCAGCATTCAAAAGTGACCAAACCATCAGCCAGAAAGCATAGGAACTGAGAAGTGGTCTGTGGTCACCACCTGCAGAACCACTCCTTTATTGGGGATGTCTTGCTAACTGCCTGTGCTTTCCACCTGTTGTCTATTCCATTTACACAACAGCATGTGAAATTGATTGTCAGTCAGTGTTGCTACCTAAGTGGACAGTTCGATTTCACAGAAGTGTGATTGACTTGGAGTTACATTGTGTTGTTTAAGTGTTCCCTTTATTTTTTTGAGCAGTGTATTTGTGCCATCTAGTGGCACAACTGGAATAGTATTCAGTAGAACTATCTATAGCACAGTATTTTAAAATAAATGTTATGTTTCAAAGAAATGCTTTCACATCACGCTATGTTTGCAAAATTTTGCTTCCTATATCTGTATAGAAAAATGACAGCTATAAAACAAAACAAATAGAAAATTTGTTTACACTTAGGAACACTTAAGAAATTTCCACTTGAGCATTTAGCAAATTCAGGAGCAATGGGGATCTTTTTAAATTGCTAATTCCTAAATAGAAATGTGCAGTTTAGAGCAATGTTTAGAAGAGGAGTGGGCATCTTTGGTCTATTTAAAAATGAGCCATGAGATAGCCAGTTTTTTTTATGATATTTAAACTGTCCATAGTTCATGGTAGCAAATTCAAAATGGAACATCACAAGAGCTCCAAAGAATTGGGTGCATAAGTCTCCAAAGAATTGGGTGCATAAGTCTCAAATTGACAAATGATTTCAGAGTAAATAATGTATGTGCAAAATATTGGGGTAAAATATTTGAAACATCACCCCTACATTATTGTTATATATTAATGACATTAATAAATAATATTCTATCAATGAAGTACTAACATAGCATGCAAGCATTCTAAAAAAGGAAATTCCATGCCTCAAATCATTAGATAAAGAATTACTCTATTTTTTATAATCCAGCAATTCAGCGAACACTCTTAAACTAATTTGGAATGCAAGGTATAGTTTTTATGACCAGCCCTCAGGGTTGACACAGTAGAATGAAAACAAAATTTAAAAAATTCTAATCAAAATTATTATGAGTAAGATGAGATCTGCTGAGAGAGGACATACAATTTAATTATACAAATCCATGGAAGAAAAATATGCATAAGTAGAAGGGTCCCCCCCCCCTTTATACAGTGCTAGAACTTGGAGTCACCTTTAAAATTAAATGTGGAGGGATTCAAGACGAATAAAAGACAAGTGATTTTTTTTTAAATTTTGCATAATCTAGGCAAAGTGTGGAATTGATGGCTATTGGATATAGAAGTGGTCTTCAGTTTAAATGGTATTTAAAGGCACATTCATGGAGAATCCAGCTATTAATATTGGTGGCTATAGCCTGAATCAGAGATAGCACATCTTAAATGTCATATAGTAAAAGAAGGAGATTGCTTTCCTGAATATGTTTGTGAGTTTCTTGAATGTGTTTGGTTGGCCACTGTATGAACGGAGCTAAGTGAGCCCTTGATCTGATCTAGAAAGGTAATGTTTTTACATTAGATATACTTATCTGACAGGTGAGATACCTTGATCACATTAGATACCTGCAGCTGCAAGTACCACATCTTTGAGATGCATGTGTAACATTATGATGAATGTACAAAGGGGTGGGCCCATCGTAGTGATGGTGCATGATGCATGATGCAGATTTTGTGAGACCGACTAATTTGACCTCTTTATAGATACTGTTGCGTCATGGTTAATTTGCAGGCAATCCTCAGATTTGTGCATCAATTATTACGATGTTTTTACTTTGGCATAGTGGGCAATGTTCTCAGTAGAGCAGTCTAGGTGAGAAGCAAATTCAATTGCATTTGACATGTTACAGTAGACAAAATGAATGAGTGAAAAAATGAGCAGTGTGTATAGTTAATTGATTAGAAACTACCCCATTCTCCTTTCTAACTCAAATTCTTTTGTCCTTGATATAGATAATGGATAACTGGAAATACCATAAATCAAAAGTGGCATCATATTGGTTAATAAAATTAGACTCTGTGAAACAGCGAAAGGTGAGTAGCAACTTCTTGTTTTCACTCTCTGTTAACCATGTGAACAACTACCATGTTTCTCATAAAATAAGGCTGGCCCTTATTTTTTTTTGAGCCCCGAAGAAACAGCTAGGCCCTGTTTTCGAGGGGTGACTTAATTTCTCCGCATGCACACCCCCACCTAGAGCACCCCATGCGCAGACTCACCTCGCCACCAGCCGCTTCTATAGACCGATAGAAGCACCCCACGGGCAGAGTCACCAGCCACTTCTATCGGCCATTAGGAGCGGCCTCATGGTGAGGCGTGGCTGCCCGCGGGGTGTCCCAACGGCCATTAGGAGTGCCCCACGGGCAGCCACACCTTGCCACGAAGCCGCTTCTATCGGCCGATAGAAGCAGCTGGTGGCGAGGCGACTCTGCCTGCAGGGTACTTCTATCGGCCGATAGAAGCGGTCTGGTGGCGAGGCGTGGCTGCCTGTGGGATGCTCTAGCTGAGGCTACCCGCGGGGTGCTTCTAATGGCAAGTTTCCCCTCCCACCCTTCCCCCCCATTTCTCTTCACCTCATGTTTTTTAAGCAATGTGAGAAATGGCAGGGAATGCATGGTTTAAATTGACCCAAATTTTGGTGATGGGGCTTAATTTCACCACATGCCTATAAAACAGTGCTGGGCCTTCCTATTGGGGAGGGGCGTATTGTTGGAGAAACACGGTATATTAGTCATTAGTGCTTTATTAAGTCCTGCCCATACTGTACCTTTAAATTCAGGAGTCCTCCATATTTTTAAGAATGAGTATCAGACAGACAGAGTAGTGCTGTTTCTTCATTTCATCTGAGCAGGTGGCACATTCCAGAGTAATTGTATTGCTGTGTCAAAAATAAGAAATATTTGTGCTGTTTCATTTTTCCTTACCTTGTCGTGCCCACAATTGTGCTTACTAGTCAATTGTTCCCAGGCTTGAAGCCATCCCAACTTGTATTTTCCTGTAGGTGGTTAAAGGAGACCCCATTAAAAACATCATCATATCTCACCAGTTTTCTTCTACTGATTTAAGTGAAATTTCAATACACTGGTTAGGTCAGGATGACATACTAGATCATCATGTAGAAAGTGCGTTCTTTTGGAGAAAATATGCCTGATACCGGAAGAATGAATATTATCTGAGGTACAATTAGCTTCCTAACTTCTTTTGGCAAGGAGACGGTTCTGTAGGCTTCTCTGTATTTAAACCTAATCTTGTTTTTAAGATTAGCTTTGACACTGACATTGCAGTTTAATGTGTGTGAGTACACACTGTGACCCCATTGAAAAAAACAATGCTTTTTATAGGAGCAAGGACAGGTGCTTAAAAAAAGGAAGAAAAAACAAAGAGAAAGTGGCGGTATAAAATATATATATTTGCAAGATATCAGTTAAAGACAATATATTGGAATTTTGACAAATCAGAAATACAAACCAATATTTTGGTATATATCTACTTAAGGATTAAGTTAATGGAAAAGTTGTGTCTGTGGCTAGATCTGCTCTGCTGTACAAAAGGTACAGGACACATAAGATAGAAGGGTTTTTGGTAGCCATATCGTGGGAGGGCTGGTATAGAAACTTGCTTTTGAATCTGCTTCCATTGTATTAGATTTGTGATCATAATTGTTATGATCATATTATCTTGACTTGGCGAGTTCAAAGAAGGGTATATTTTTGGAACATGCTGTCAATAGATTAGTGGTAGAGCTATTTGAGGTTTTGCAGTTCTTACACAATATGAACATGTCTGCAAAACCCTGCAGTCACTATATGCAACACAAAACATCTCTGCAAATAGAAAATTGTTTTTTTGTCCCTGTAAGTCTAAGTCTAAATTCTGTTCTGCTGCATTGTGTATAAAATTACCTGTGATTTCCAGGCATTTGTACACCCTGGTATGTCCACCCTTCTGTCTATATTGCTTTGGGCAGAGTTTCTAGTCCAGGAATCCTTAAATATTTTTTCTTTAAATCCAGCCTTTATTTTAATTCATTGTCAATTAGCCTTAAAACCACAAAATAGTTTCTGCAATGTTCTTATATTTAAAGTTCTACATTTGATGTTGAATGGAATATGTTGGTCCAGTATAAAGTCTATGAATCTCTTAACATTCATTTACAGAAAATCGAAATTGATATGTTAATTGCAGCAAGACGTGGGTCTATGACATCTAGTCAATGCTGAAAGGAATTGAAATAAGGTCATTACTGTTCTAAAGTAGAAGGACTTGGTTTCATGTGGCCAGTTTTGATTTCTCTTCGAAAGCTTTGTATATATCTCCAGCAGTGAGGTCTGCATCTAAGTGGCCACATTTACTTTAATAGGCCTTTAATAGGCCTGTCCTATGTCATTTAATTACAGAAATCAGTCCTTCATATATTACATTACTGAATGGTAAAGTACAGTACATATCCATCAAAAAAAGAGAGAAAGAAAGAAAAGAAATACTTCAAATAGACTAACAATGTGAGTTGCATGGCTTACGGGGGAGGAAAGGGCCCCGATTCCCTTCATTAGCTGCAGCTAGGAACATAGTGTTTAAAAAGAGAGTTTGTGCACAGTAACTCACGGGAAGCAAATTGTGAGTTATCTTTTGTGGTCGAGGCTTATCTGGGTTCCTGGTGTCTTCCCAAGTGTGTGTGTGTTTTGTTGGCCTTTGAAGTCTGCAATTTCTTATTCTTGTCTGTCCAGTTAATTGCTGCAGCGTGGTTTGTGTGGATTTTTATTTACAGTTTATATGTACTTTGTTTTTGCACTGAATTTCCTTCATTTAAAGACTGTTTTTGGGAGAGTTTTTTCTCCAGTCAAAGGTAACTGGACATTGGGGGCAAAATTGGAGGTATTAAAGGGACTTTTCTTGCTTATGTGACTATGTTGCCTTTGTGCCACGCCCCGGATCATCACATTGGATATGATTTTAGGTAGAAAAATAGAATCTACAAATAGTATTAGCCTTATAGGAAATCAAGAATGAATATTGAAGTGCAGAAATGTTAGAGACTGTCTTTTTTTTTAGCAGGTTGAATTCAGCATTTGCTTATGCTTGGAATACCAGTGGCATGAAAACTTATTAATCAGGACACTGAAATTAGATCACTTGAATTTGTTCCCCTTTTGTACATGTCAGGCAGACTTTTTCTCAGTTTGAGGCACTGATGTACTGATTCAAAAACCTCTTCATTGTCATTATCATGATCACTGAAACACTGTTCCGGAGGTCATCTCATGACATCAAAGATTTATAGCCAATCAATACTGTGTTTAGTTGGCTTGGGTTGCAAATGGGAAAAACAAGTTTCCTTTGAATTCGACCTTTATCAGAAAATGCTACAGCTCGACAATCATGGTAAATGGAGTCAAATTTTGTAACTCTGGAAGCAGTTGTTTTATACCTCCTAATAGCAGTTGTTTTATACCTCTGAAAATAGTTCTGGTTTATAAAAGAGAAGGTCAATTTAAAAAAATCCTTACGTTTCTAGAAGTTGCCTCATCCTTTCCTTTTATATTTCCTTTTCTTGTGGTTGTAGTGGTAGGAATTGACTTATGCCTAATAAATAATTTATAATTGTTTGGAGTCACCTTGGACAGCGTCTGAATGTAATAAATAAATAAATAACATGTTTTTGATTGCATATATTTGATGTAATGTGCAACAAATGAAGTTCTAAATGTGTATTTTTAAAAAAATTAATCCATCCTAGAACCTGCAAGATAATTTTCAAATTGCTTTCTAAACTGTTCCATAACTTTTATTTATTTATTTTGTCGATGTAATCTTTTTTTGTAGGTTTTAGACATTGTGAAAGTCAGTATTCGCTCTGTCCTGAAGCATATCTGGAGAGTTTCAGATGTGGAATGTTTACATTTGTACCGACTTTTTAACCGTGTGTTTAATCGCCTGCTCTGGAGCCACGGCCAAGGGCTGTGGAACTGTTTCTGTAATTCAGGGTAAGAGTATACACACTCACAAAAGACAGACACAGAAATTGTTTTTCTTGAATAAAAACAAGGCTCCTTCTCTTTTGTGACTGCTGTAGATTTATTTTCCTCATAGATAATTGAGTTGACGTTTAAACTTTCTCAAAAATATTCATTTCTCTGCTTTCATATTTTATATTCTGAGTGTTGGAAAGGTTATGGGTGCAGGACTTTTTAATCAAGACAGAATTGCTTAAAATCATAGGCATGCTTTTTGGGGAAGTAATGATTTGAATTAAAATTTTTACACAAACACATACACAGACTTTTTGCTACTTTGGTTGCTTGCTCAGCTCTCGTGTTCACTAATCATCTGGTGGTCCATAGGCAACAGTCATCCTGGCAAGAGATGATCAGAGCTGAAGTTGATCAGATCTAGAAGGTAGAAAGCTGCTCTGGAGTCAAAAGCAGAAGTAGCTCCTATCTTCTATATATATAAAAGTGAAATACCACTCACACATCATCACAAAATCTCCAAAACTGTAAAGCCTACAAACTTGAAATTTGGCACATATGATCTTCTTGGCTTCTAGGTGCTCACTAAGAAAGGATTTTTCAAAATGACCATCAGAACATTAGTATATCCTATATTATTTTTAACATGCTCTGATGCTAAGGCGTTCTACTGTTCCCCACATGAAAAGAAATCTGTTCCAAATGCAAAACACAAGCAGAGGAGAGGAGTTTCAGTTTCAGTTTTAGTTTCACAGCAGTAACCAGCTTTAGTACAGAACAGTTGAGCTAAGCCACACCCAGTCTCCTTGCTGTCTCCTTTTTGCTCACACAGCAAATACTGTTTCAGTTTCCAAACAGCCCTCAACTCTCTTACACACTGACAGGATGCTAGCCAGATAAATACCAATGGATGGTGGTAGGCAGAGGCAGAATTTTTTCCCCTTCTTTTCCTCCCCAAATACTAAGCCTGACCACATAGTTTTGTAGAGAAGCCTGGGTATCGAGCTAGTGTCTCCTGAATTACTTTTTGCTCCTTCCAGAGAAAAATGACAATGATGCTGGATTTCAAGGCCATAGTTGCTGGGAATAAAGCAGAATACAATCCCCATCCTAAAACTCTGTTCTCCTCAATAACAGTTTTGCCATAGAAACTGACTAGTGAGGCCTTTGAAATACAAAGGCTGAATTATTAATTTGTATTTTCCTATTTCCCACCAACTGTGGGTGAAACAGTACCAGCTCTTTACTGTAAACTAACAAGGTCATACATTAATTCACTTCCTTTTCTGTAGCTAAATTTCTCACGTAAAGATTTCAGATTGTCATTTGTGGTGGAAAGCATGAGGTCATGTCTGTTTCCATGCCAACAGGAGCTCTTGGGAGACAATATTCAGTAAAAGCACAGAAGCTGTGACTGCCGATCAACTCCAGTGTTGCCAACGAATCGTTGAACTTTGTAAACAGTGCCTGCTAGTGGTTTACAAATACTCGTCTGATGTTAGAGGGACCATCTCTGGAATGAATTCTGATTGGGATGACACCAGGTATGTATGATGCTGATATTTGACATTTTGTGGTCTGATGTTAAAAACAATGTAGGGGATGCAAGGGTGTGATTAGGCTTCCATATTGTTGGATTTTGTGGCAGAATCTGTTGATAACTAAACTTTAAATTGAAAATTTAATTTAACTTTTAATGTTTCATTCCAGTGCAGTAACTCCAAATCCAGCAGTTTACATGTGTTTAAAATGATTCTTATGAGAACCAGTTTGGTGCAGTGATTAAGGCATCAGGCTAGAAACTGGGAAGTTGTGAGTTCAGTTCTGCCTGCCTTAATCACAAAGCCAGCTGGGTGAACTTGGGCCAATGTCTTTCTCTCAGCCCTAGGAAGGAGGCAGTGGCAAGCCACTTTGGAAAACCTTGCCCAAGGAAATTACAGGGATTTCTCCAAGCAATCTCCCATTATTGGACACCACTGAATGGAAGGAGTCCCCCCCCCACCCCCCCCCCCCCCCCCCCTCCCTATATCCCTAATTTGTAGCTTCCGATTGCTGCCTATATATTTTAGTGCAGGGACAGTCATTTTCTCCCCTTTGTTTTCTGAAGGGCACCAAGTTGGTGCATGATAATATAATGAAAATGAAATCCCAAGCTGGAATAGATTGGTGTAGCATGGATGAACATCTCTACCAATCCTTTTTGGGTGGTCTTTTTAATAAGTAGGAGAAGAAATCTATTAGAACTTCTCCCAATTTTGAGCTAATTTTTAAAAAGCTGTTATTTGCAGTGAATGATCTGGAACAGTTTTACAACGATTTCTTCAACTAGTTAATAGTGTTCAGAATAATTTTTCCATCAGCTTCCCAATTCAGTTTTGAATGTTTTAGAAAGTAGAACACTTTTGGGTTCTATGCTGAAGACATCTTGGTTGATTGATCAGCATATGGATATTGATATCTGGGACTCAGTCAAAGAGATGTAAGGTCATACTGAACTTCTAAAAGAACAATAAACTTTACAAAATGGATCCTTAGGCTAAAATTTTATTATAATTGTCTAATGCTCAGAAGACAATATCGGCATCACAACCCAAAGTCATTTTTTTATTCTGTTAAATGATTATTTGGGCAAATTTAAGAGCAGCAACAACAATCAAGGGCTTTATCTGCTGTGATTCTGACTTAACTTATAGAATTTGCTGCTATACATTGTAGTAATAGCCATTGGTTTTAATAATCCAGCTGTGGTATACCCTTTCATTTATTTCTGGACTGATACTTGGCTATTGCTCATAATGATTGAGAACTTATAGGCCATACCTACCCCTGCTGTATATTGAGTAGTTGAGAATTACAAGACTATTATGATAAACTTTGAACTCCAAATAACCCATGCTACTTACAAGAAATCAAAAGGATTTTCCCCAAAGCATCGAATGTACCATTATTAGAACTGATTCTAGGCTAGATAGAATGTTATTTTTATTCAACAGACTTTCAAAAAGGACCAAAATTAAGCATAGGTATTATTTTTTTAGAAATATAAACCCAATATAAATTGCCTATAGCAGCGGTCATCAACCGGTGGGCCACGGCCCACTAGTGGGCCGTAAGAAAAATTTGGTGGGCCGCAGAGAAATCTCACCCCCAGAGCACCCCCCCCAAAGCAATTAATCCAGGCTGCGCAGAAACACAAGTGCCTGCGCCACCCACATGGCCCGCAGGAACCCTCCCCCCCCACTCACCTTACCTGACAAACTTGCCTGCTAAATTGCTATTTTTCCTTTTTTGGACCATCATCTGTTCTGCTGTGCCGGGAGATTTAAATTAGCTAGGAAGCAGGAAATGGTTGGATTTCTTGCTTTCTAGCTAGTCTTTAGATCTTCGGCTCAGCACAGCCAAACCTCCCTTAGGACTGAAGGTTTGCTTGCAAGCAAATTCAGTGCAGACTCACGGCAAGCAAATTTGAGAGACTGAGCTAGCCGATGGCAGATAGATAGACCACTGAATGATTCTGTGAGCAACTCAATCTGCCTGCTTTGCCTGATTTTGTGTAAAAGTTGCTCTTTTTTATAAAAAAAAATATCAATATTTACATGCATGGTGTGTTGTGAGTTAATTTTGTGAGTTTGCTTGCTAGCAAATTTTATGAGTTTGCTTGCAAGCAAATTTTATGTGACAGACTGAGCTAGCCAATGGCAGATAGATAGATCTCTGAATGAATCTGTGATTCTGTGAGCAACTCAATTTGCCTGCCTCCTTTGCCTGATTTTGGGTAAAAGTTTCTCTTTTTTTATAAAAAATTCAATATTTATATAACTATTTATAATATTTACATACAAGCCATGCCCAGCCAGTCACATGACCACCAAGCCACACCCCAAAATTAGGCCACGCCCACAGAACCGATTAGTGGTCCCTGGGATCTAAAATTATGAGTTTGGTGCTCCCTGAGGTCCAAAAGTTTGGCGACTCCTGGCCTATAGAATTTCCTTACCATAGGACCATAGTAATCAGGATGTGGTACACCTTCAACATAGCCATTATATAGAAATACCCCACAGCTCTGATGCTGCGTTACTTCATTTCGAAATAATTTTAGTTGTGGTAAAAGCCTGTGGTAAATCCCCAAAATTCAACATGTTAGTGATCCTGCCTGCCTTATGCTATTATGTTGGAAAACACACACACACACACACACACACACACACACACACACACACACACACGGTAAAGGTTCCCTTCGCACATACGTGCTAGTCATTTCCGGCTCTAGGGGGCATGCTCATCTCCATTACAAAGCCAAAGAGCCAGCATTGTCCGAAGACGTCTCTGTGGTTATGTCTCAAGCTCAACGTCTTAGCCACTGAGCCATACATTTCCAGATGTTGGTCTCTGCATAACTTTTTTTAAAAAATATGGTAATAGTCTAATAAAAATGGCAATACTGTATCGGAAAAATCCAGGTTCAAGTCTTTCTCTGACTAAGAATTTTGAGTCAGGTGTTCTTTCCCTCAGCTCTTCAGTTTGACAGGCTTATAGTAGATAAAAAGAAGTGAGACACCATGTTAACCCATTTGAACTTCTAGTAGAAAGGCAAGATGTGAATGTCATGTAATAGACATATGCAAAAGTGTTCTGAATCCAACTCTTTTGAGCCCAAAATCATTCCAGAAATCTCTGAATTCGCCTGTTTAATATACCAGTGTGGGCCGTTAGCCTGTTTAACGTTTAAAAGGGCATTTTAAATTGAACACAGTTCAAATTCGGAATGTTTGTCCTATCTTTTTAATGTACTAATTCTAATGCACAATAGTTATGCAGTTGCCTTTGTCAGAAAAAAAAGGAAGCTTCAGCCTTTTTGACAACTTTGAGAAAGAGGATGATGATTGCTGGCAGGTGTCTGTAGGGCTGAGAACTCTACGATGTTGCATAAAATTTGCAGTAAATCTCTACTCCCTTTAAAGATCCACCCTGACTTCTTCTTTTTTCCCTCTTATAACTGGCCTTTCTTGGAAATGCTCCAGTCTTTAATTTCCAGTTCTGAATGTGTAATTTCTTTCCAACAATTAACCATCAGACATTTGTTCATCAGTATTTCCTTTGGAAAGAACTGAAACTGTATACTCTTCAATTCAAAGCTCATATTAAATTATCATCAGGAACCTTCTTCTTCTTGTTTCCTTCAAGGAAAGTACAGAGTCTTCTTAATGCCCTAATCAAATCTGCTTTTCAAATAAGATATGGGAAGATTCAAATCCTTTGAATTCTTTTTTTTTTTTCTGTCTCCTTTTCCATACACAACATGGTTCCAAAGAAAATTACCACCTCAGGTTGAGTAATTTGAAATAATCAGAACCAGATATTGATGGGGAAACATCTCCACGATGAACCGTACTGCTGAGAAGCAACATAATTCAGGGCCAACATCTTCAGTTAAGAAGACCTTAGTAGCAAGGCTGGAAACAATCCTTGCCTGAGAAGCTAGAGAGCTGTTATAAGGTAGGGTTGTAGTCCAACATGTCTGGAAGGCACCATTTATTTATTTGTTTAGATTTAATAGGTCTACCTTTTCTCTAGGAGTTGTGAGTAGCTACACAGAATCTCCCTTTATTTTATCCTCCCAATAGCAATTCCAACCAAGTAGGTTGAAACTCCCAGGGAGTTTCCATGGCTGAGAGTAAACTTGAACCTGGATCTTTCTGGTTCTCATGACACACTGCATTTGCTTTCACGTCATACTGACTTGCCACATCAGAGAAAGTTGGGTTATACATAAAATGCTTTAACATCTTGACTCTTGAAACAAAGACTATTGATACATCTGTGACAAGCTGTAGAGAGCATTTAAAGCTTAGGAAGATTTTGTCAAAATGCTGCTCCTTATATTACAAGTTGTCCTCACTTAATGACTGCAGTTGGGACCAGCAACTCTGTTCTAAGCAATATGGTTGTTAAGTGAAACATTACATGACCACGCCAAACTTACCACATCAGTTCCACAGCAAATCATCCACAATCATGAAGTGCAACACCCAGTGACCACAAATGGCAACTTATTGCTGGCTTCTCCATTGGTGTTGCTTGTTGGAAGCCGGATGTGAAGTTGGCCAATGGCAGTCATGTAATTGCGGAACATTGCAACACTCAGAAGTTCGAGGACCAGCCATAAAGCTACTTTTTCAGCACTGTTGTAACTTTGAACAGTTATTTTAAAAGGCAGTCATTAATTAAGAACTACCTATAATTATAATTTTTAATCAGGGATGTAGTTAATGCATCATAACAATTGCTATCCTCAGATGATTGCCTTTTGGAAAAAAAATAGTATAGATTTCTTCTCTGCAATGCAGTTGTTATCTTTTTCTATTTTATTCTCCTATCCTGTCTAAACTGAAAGTAATTTAATAAAGAAGACTTCAAATCCTTTTCTCAGGAATTGTCCTCCAACTTTCCTGGCTGGATACATGTTTTCTAGGACAGCCTTTCCCCCCTACTCCTTAATTAGTCCAATTGAAATCCATTTTTATTTACTTACAGGATTTAAATTGGCGTCTATTTCATACAAAGATTCTAGGCAGTTCACAACAACCCATAATTAAAAGCATACATTTCCTCCCAGGTGCCAGATTGGACAACTTCACAGTTTAACCCCCACTTCTAGCCCGGTGCTTGGGGGAACAACCGGGCCTTCGCATATCCCAGAAGGCTGAAAAGGTAGCAATTCCTCTGAACTCTGGTGGGAAGTGTTCCAGAGTATTGGGGCAGCCACTGAGAAGGCATGCCTCTGAGATTTTCATCCGATGGCAACATTTAAGGGAGAAGACCTGGAACTTTCCCCCAATCTAATCTAGGCAGAAACTCTTAGAGAGAGAGGCGGTCCTACAAGTAATCTGGCTCTGTGTCATGTAGGGTTTTAATCACACTTGCACTACACCCAGAAAGCAATTGAAAGCCAGCACAATTCATGCAGCAGTGGTGTTACTTGGGTATACCATAGGGTAGGGGCCCCCAGCCCCGGTCTGTGGACCAGTATCGGGTCACGGCATGCCAGAAACTGGGCCACGCAAACAAGTAAAGAAGCCCCATCTGTGGGATGCAGGCAGCTTGCAAACCACGCCTCCTTCGGTCCACAGAAAATCCTCCTTCCACGGAACTGGTCCCTGGTGTCCAAAAGTTGGAGGGGTGGTGGTGGCACTGAATGCTGCTGCATTCGGCATCAGTTGCAACTTTTGATGGTCTTTAAGCCCCATGTAGAGTACATTGCAATAATCCAAACAGGAGTTGACTGTTTGGATGGATAACTGTGAACAAAGGCTTTCTATTTGGACTATTCCAATGCATTTGACACATTAGCAAAGGCAAACTTAATTTTGCAAGTGATTATTCTTTATCTAGAAGAAATCAATAGCTGCAGCTTCTGGGCAGAACCTGTAGAGTAATGCATTACAAGTAGTCCTTGACTTAAAGCCATTGTTGGGCCTGAAACTTGTGCTCTAAAGCAAAGCAGTCATTAAGTGAGTTGTGCAAAAAAAATTTATGTTTTTTGTTGTGTTTGTTAAGTGAATCACTATGGTTGTTAAGTGAATCATGCAGCGGTCAAACAATTTCAGCTTCCCCGTTGACTTTGCTTATTGGAAGCCAGCTAGGAAAGTTACAAAAGGTCATCATGAGATCCCTAGATGGTGCAACCCATATAAATACATGCCCATTGACAAGTGCCTTGATCACATGACTCTGTGGATGTGCAGCAGTCGTAGGTGCGCAACTCAGTTGTAAGTGTGAGGACTGGATAATTTCCAGCATCTTCATAACTAAGATGGTCGCTAAAATGGTCTTAAGTTGAGGATTAACTATACATATATTTAATAGATGCTTCTTTGGAGGGGCAGAACATATATGGAATAGTAAGGTAAGATAAGGAGTTCCTGTGGATTTTACTTCATTAGTTGTTGCCAACTATAGGTGGTAATGCTCATCTCTGTTTCAAGGACATTGAGCTAACACTGTCCAAAGACACTTCTGCGGTCATGTGGCCAGCATGATGTCATGGTTTGCTGTTACCCTTCCCACTGAAGTGGTACCTATTTATCTACCCACATTTCAAACTGCTAGGTTGGCAGGAGTTAGGATAAGGACGGGAACTCACCCCATTGTGTGGTGCTTGGGTCTCGAATCTGGGCTGCAAGCTTTCCAGCTGACAAGCCTTGTGTCTTAACCACTGAGCCACTGTGCGGCATACATAGAATAGTATCTATATGGAATTAATTCTTCTAAACTGAATGGAAGTTTAATCTGTCATTGAGCCAGGGATTTTTTAATTTTATTTTAAAAGTGCTGAAGTGGAGAATATATTTAGCACTCTTGGTTTGTTAATTTAGAAGCATGAAGGCTTTAAGGAGGCATTTCTAATACCTTTATTAATGGCCATTTTTGATTTCTGTAAGTTACATATATTTGCTTAGTAGAGAGTGTTTTAAAGACTCTAGAATTCTTTAAAGCAATAGCTGACAATGTCCAGTTCTTTGCAATAACTGTGTATTAGGTACTCAGTCACTTGTGTCATGTAACTTAAAGCCAAATGTAAAAAGCATTTGGCAGAACAGTGAGTTGCTCCAAAATAAACAAAACAAACAACACATAGCTAATATTTTATCTTTGTTCATTGATGATCTAACATTAATCTACTTTGATCAAAAATCTTTCGTGCTTTTCCTGATTTACATTGCAGAGAATTATTTGAGTATAGCTTGCATATTCACATTAAGTCCTGTAAATGCCACTACACAGTTGACTTAACCACTATTGCCTGTCAAAATGTCCCGGAATTTCTCCTCTTCATTTCTGAGTGATAAAATGCCATAGTAAAGACTTTTATCACTATTAAGAAGTGTCTTTAAAATACTCCACTCCTTCTCCCTCTCTTCCCTTGCCCTTCACAAAAAGCTGCTTTCCCCACTGCTTTAATTAATTAATTAATTAATTTCCCCCCTGAACCTTCAAAACTTGTAATTAACGTATCCTTTCTACTGTGAACATATTTAAGGATCTTTGTATGCAGCCTTAGGGCATGAATTCTGCCATTTTACACACACCATTGGATTTGATCCGGGAGGAAAGGAACCTGAAATATAGGCACCGTTCCGCTAAAATAGGTCTTTGTTTGCAGCTCTTTCACGGAAAGCCTTTCATTTCTACAACCTGGCTTTAGCATATGCTCTCATGGCATTTAATCATTGTGACTCTTACAGCACGGTGCTTAGAATTCATCATCACATGATGTAACGTTTTCTAAATAGTGTGCTCTATTATGTGCACTAGTTCTAGCATAATCCATTACTTTTAACGTAGCTTCCACTTAGGGTAGGTGTTGTTTTTATACATTTTTAGAGCATCTAATATCTGCAAGTAATTATATAGCGTCAGTAATGGAAAATAAATTAAAGGGCGATTATTAGACAATTTATGATGATTGTTTCTAGGTTTTTATTCAAGTTCTGTTTCTGCTGGTGTTGCCAGCGATTTAAGTATATAAATCAGAGAGTCACTGATGAATGGTGAATTAGCGATTTGCTAAAATCATGATAATGAGGTGGTGGCTGTATCACAATTTCATTAAGTAATGATATGGTTTAGTCTAATACAGCAAAATTTGGTATTGATGTTTTGGGGTCAGAGTTTATTCAGGCAATAATATATTCACAAAGCAATACAAAATGATTTACCTCTTAATTCTATGTCCTCCCTCACAGTGACCCTGTCATAATTTGGGATAGGCAGCATAAAGACCACACTGAATATGCTTGTCCTTTTTAAAGAAATATGAGGAACAATAGAATAGAAAAGTTGTTGAGGTCGGAAGGCTTTTATTCTTAAATGGCTCGTGTTTTACTTGCTTGTAAATCTTAAAAGTTTTAGAGGCATGTGATGGATGGGAAAAAGAAGTATTATGATTAGATGTTTCCAGTAAGTGTGTATGTAAATGGTAGTACCACACTGAATACATGAAGTGTGATGATAATGTGCTAAGCATTACAAATATATATTTTCCACAGAAATCATAATTTCTGGCCTGAGCACCAGGGAGAAACATGAATCCCAGATAATATATGGAGATAATATATCTGAATTCATTTCAAAGAAAAAGGATTGTTTGATGTACTTTCAAATATTATATTTCTTTATCAAATTTTAATGTTGAAACTACCCAATTTGGGAAGCATTTCCAAAGTACATAATTTATGTAAAAGGGCAATATTTTTTAACAGTAAGCATGATTGGGGTAGATTGTAGGGGTGATACTGAAATATAATTTTATCATATTTTATTTATATATTAAATTATTGCATTTTAATCCAATTTTATTTTAAGTCATATTTTATTTCAATTTCATTTTAAATCATATTTTATTCCAATTTCATTTTAAATTGTATTTTATTAAATTCCATTTTAAACAGTTTTTATCAGATTTTAGTAATAATTTGTGTTTGGAACTCTGCTCTTTGATATGGTCCAAGGGCTAATCAATAAAGTAAACTGACTGACTGACTGACTGACTATTATACTGATACTTGATTGGTCATATTATGATTGAATTGCATAAGTGTATGTCCCTCTTATAGATTATTTATTAATGAATACTTGTTTAGTTGAATTGAAGACATCTGTTAAATTCTTTTGCCTTCGTCTCTTAAACCCCTTTCTAGGTATTTACTACCAGGACCGTTGCAATTCATCATGAAACCCTCCACCGGTTTTGGGTGTAGCTCATCTGGAATGACTCGCTCGGTTTTGTTTACATCTAAATATGACCATTCCTGAAACTAAAAGGAACGTTATATTAATGGGCAATTCGCTTTATTTTTCTCCTCAAGTACAAATGTGTGACGGAACTGAACATAGATATTGTTATATATTTATTACCATATATAAGATGTAGCTCAAAAATCTGCTGTAAACACATAACATTTCTCAGAAATATAATAAACCTTATTAAACTGTTTACAGAGGTACGTGAATGTCCACATTTGCTAGATGACTAAATACATTTGTACTAAAATGATACTTTTGCTGCAGAGGCACAGAGGGCACAATCCTATACTGGAGATCTCTCAGCTGAGGGGCTGTAGACTTTAGTGGAAGCTCTGCCATCTGGTGAAATACCAGTTATGTTGCAATATTAACTCTTGTGCTATAGAGCTCTCTGCAGGCAGAGGTGTTCTCTTAATGAAGATACCTTTACAGAAAGGGTAGAGCGTAGCAGAGATAGGAGTTGAACAGAGGAGAGCCAACTTTGGTCACATCCCATACTAGTACAATCTGTGACCATGTTCCCACAGAAGGTGCGGTTTTTCTCTAGGTCCAGATCTGTTATGTCCTCTCCCATTGAACTTAATGGGAGGGGGGAAATCCATGAGTGCATCAGTTGTCTTGCCTATGTTGCCTATTTCTGGGACATATTGTGGCTCACAACCCAATTATAGCAAATTATCAGTGTGTTATCAAGCCACAATCAATAGGTTAATCACCGATCTGATGAAAGAATGCGTAACTTGGGGTCTATATTTGATCTCACGTTGCACACATTTCAGAGGGCAGAATCCTGAATGTTGAGGAACAAGAAGAAAGGAGCATTATGTAGAAGCAGCCCTTTATGAAATACTCATAAAGCAGATGGCCCACATTTCTCTTCCCCAAATCCTAACTGGCATTTTGCTTTGAGACATCATTAAACAGACTATCAAACAATCAACTTTGTCTCTGTGATGAGATGGCAGGGCAGAGTCCTTCATTCAGAGAAGTAAAGGAGGAAAAAAAACCTAGACTACAAACTACAATTCTGTGGTTCATTCCCCATTTACCCCAGGTAAAACAGGGGCAAGGAATGGGAAGGACTGGTTGGCTGCCAGATTACCAAAAGGGATATTTCAAGGCTCCAAAGCAATACAATGAATGGGAATACTGCATTGATAGCCAAAAGAATTGGGAACATCTCCACAGAGAAGCCAATGTCTCAAGGAAAAACCCACAGACCCCAAACAAAGGGATTTAAAAGAAGGGAAAGTATAAGAAAAAGGTTGTGAGAATGTGGCCAGGGTTCTTTGAACGTCCTAACCCTAATTTATACTCCTCCACATTATAGGTCAGTGGACAACTTACAGGGACTATTCTACTGGTCAAATGTCTCCAAGTCTCCATTCTCAGCATCATCTGAGTATAGGATTGCTTTGCCCAACAAAAATGACCTTGCAGGTCCTGTTACAATTTTAACTTATTTTATAGGCAGAATGTCTTTAGATTTGAACTATTTATGTAAAGCTTACTGTTTTTTTGCCCCCCTTCTCTTGTAGGGAGCAATATGCCATTAGGATTAGAAGATAAGGCTTAGGGGAATAAAGATGGTAAACTCCTAAATATGTTGTTTCTGTTTCACAGTTAAAGACACTTGTATAAACGCCGAAACCTAATGTACCTATTTTTAACTGAAGCGAAGGATAAGAAATGTGCAATTTTTATTTTTCAGTAAGGGCATGCTGAGACCTCTTAGTTAAGTGAAGTCAATCCTCTGGGTAAATTATTCAAGACCATCCGTTCTGATCCATAGCTTCTAGCTGGAGCGTTGTAATATTATTACTACTAATAAAAAACGGGCAGCAAGCATTTGTATTGGCTCTTTTATTTGTGTGTGTGTGTGTGCAAGTGCATGTGTATGTGTGTGTATATGTTGAGCTGCTTGCTTTCTTCAAGAAGATAATTTAGTTTCCAAGAATAAGTACTTTCTTTCTACCATATGATTGACAGTACAAATATCATTTTAAAATCCTTAGGATACTATCATATCCCTTTCAAATATTATATAATACACATTTGTAATAAGATACACTTCTGAGTGATGCAGTGGGTCCCAGGGACCATAAACAATATTCTATGGATTTTAATGGGAAGCGTTCATTTTTCAGAAGGAAGGGGAAAAGTGTGCCACTGCCAAAGTAACCGTTACGCTACCAAACAACTTTATTTATTAATCCAAGTTAACCTGCTTTTCTTCAAAAGCATTCTCAAAAAGAGCAAATCCAAAGTCGTAAGTGGAACGGAGAGAGCCCCAATGGCTTCCTGCATTTGGGATGTCATCCAGTTTTAACTACAATAGTGGGATAGTGACAGATGGATTATTTATCACTAGCACAATGAAGGCAGAAAGTTTATTCGCCACTTGCCTGAATATGTGAAAACTAGAAAACAAGTAATAAGGGCAGCTATATACTGTATTTTTCCATGTATGATACTTTTTCTCTAAAATATTTACCTAAAAATGGAGGGGCTTCTTATACATGGGGGGCTGGGAGAACTGCAGTTGCGAAACTGCCAATACCTTATCTCTGCAAACTACCTCACAAGGTAGTTGTGAAACTTCCAATTGCAGAGACAAGCTAGTTACATGGTTTCCTCCAATCATGTAACTGAAGTCAGCTGATGCTGTGGAGAGCGTGAAGCTAGTGCCCAGATGTGACAGGGAGCGTAATGTCGGAATGTTCTGAGCCCATAAAAATGTCAGAAAACAAAAAAAAATAAATACCAGTACCAGTAAGCGAATGTCTTACTCTGCAAAATAAATGTCTTCTATTTAATGTTTAAAATATTGATTTCTGAATTTGGGTAAGAAAAGGGGAGTGCCTTATACATGAAAAACTACGGTAATTTGCCTGGAGGGCCAAAGGCTTGGAGGTCAGAATGGATAGAATCAAATGAATATGCTAGCAGTTTTCTACTCAGTTTGAAGCCTTTCCATGTTTAGTTAAAGGCAGTCTAGTCAGCTTAAATATTTCCTGTCCTCGTCCTTTTTGTGTGTGTGCAAACCATTGTCTGGATAAAAAGCAGCTCCGCAATAAGAATTTTGAGGGTCCTGCTCCCCGTTTTATGTACAATATACGTCCATAAAATAAAAAATGAGAGTTTGCTCTATTCATGTTAAAAATCTCAAAAGAAAAAAGAAAGAAAAGCTGTTTTGGGATGGATTCAATGTAGTACATTAAAAAAAGCAGGTAAAGGCTGAAAAATTGAAGAGTCAAAATTAAATGCACAACTAAACATGTTGCCTACAAATGCTACTTAGGAAACAATAGAAACTTTAACAGATGTATTGTCAAACTTTTAAGACAAATGCTGGGTAACAGTTATGAATATTTAGGAATCTAAAGTGTATGCTCAGCGATTTTGGCATCAAATGATATCTTTTTGTAGCTTGTTCCTTCCTTTTGGGTACCATGAGATTTTTATAGTCTGGATCTATGACCATATTCTGTGGGTTGTTCCAGAAGGCATAGGGAACACAGCTGCCATTTTATTAGCACGCATCACCTTTTCCCTACTAACAATTGTCAAGAAGACACCCTTGAAACAACTAGTTCTAGCATTGGGTTTCGGGGCAATAGAAGAGAATATCTGTAGCACAGGATTGTAGAGTCTTTGGTGAAGGTATGGTTAAAGCCACTTTGTTTCCAATCCCTAAAGGGTTCTCTTTCAGTACTGGGTTGCAAATAATGAGAATATGCTTGAAATGTCAGCCTCATATGTAATTAACACATACCTTGACAGGCTCTTGCATGTGATAGATTAAGAGAGGGAATGCTGATTTCAATTATTCAGTTATACATAAAGTAATAAAACACAGAAAAATCATACCACAGCAGCCCTGTGTTGCACAAATCATTGTCGTTGCTCTTGAATGGTACAAATGCTTGCCTTCCAATTAAACATGCAGGCAAATGTGATCTATTTCTTACTGACACACATCTTCTCTAAGACCCTATAAGGGCATAAAGGGACAGCTTTGCATGTCATTAAAGTCAATAAAATTGAATGGCTTTTTGAGCGTGCTGGTTACAAGGTAGCCTCTTTCCAAAGGCTGCTTACATATTTTTCATTGTGTATTCTACATAATGACAACACCAAAAGTCTTAATTTAATGAAAGATTATGTTATCAGCATTTTTTTTTACTTCAACATTCAATATGGCAGATAAAATAGTAACTGGAAATATACTAGCAGCCCATTCTGTAGTGCTATAAGTCCTTTAGTAATAGGGATTTCACATATCTTAGGAATTATTTAAAGCCTGTCTTTAACTGGGAAACAGGAAACTGAATAATACACTTTTCATATCAATCTGAGTTTATTGATGGATTGTTGTAATGACGCAGTCGAGTTGTTTGATCATGAACAACTGAATCATGATGATCTTTATTGGAGTATAGTCTTGTATTTATATACATTTTTAGTTATCCTCCATCATTGGTTAACTTGGTTACTGCTTAACTTTCATTACTGTTTAGTACAGTAATCCATACAATTAATTATCTCTAGTTAAAGTCTAACATATGTTTACTTCCCCTCTCTAATCCTCCTTTATCCATAGATTAGTGACTTTGTTTGCTTGAGTTGTATTTGCTTGGAAACATTCTTTATCTGAGGTTTGCCATCCGAGATTGGAACATTCCTGCAATTACAACTCTACAATGGATGTCATGGATTGCAATAATTAGAGCCAAAAACTTTCAGTTTTGGAAGCAAATGGGTCTCTTGTAGAGTATGTCTTCAACATTCCATAATGCAACATTCTGGCACTGAAGTAATTTCAAGATGACAACTGAATTTTCCTGGACAAAACAAGCTAATCAGATGTCCTTTTGGCTGGAACCTTGATTAAGCAATATGTTTGTTGGGATGACCTGATTCTATACATTTCTATCTTTGATTATAATTCATAATTTCTCACTTTCAATTATTTTCTGTGGCTCCTGACAGTGGCCTTACATTTGTTG